CGAGAAATAAGATTTCCAACCCTCGTTTACTTCCTGCGGATCTGATACAGTAATTCCATTGGAAGTCATTTCAAAACCGGGTGTATATTTGGTTTTTGAATAATTCTTATTAACCAATCTCCAAAATTCATTGTGCTTTGTCTAGCAGATGCTTTGTCTAGCATACATTCCTCTTTATCTAGGAAAGATGGAACGGATTGGCATTGTGTTTTCCGAAAAAGGGTCTTGGCTATTTTGAAACGTTTGTAACTTCCGGAAGTCGTGTCACGTGGCTTTCCGTCGCTTATCCATTGTGCTCGCGCTTGTGTCATATTTCTATGCGCAGTTCTAAGACTGACATTCCAGTAAGGTTTGATGTAAGGTTTAAACTTTACCTTAGGTATGAATAAATCTGAAGTAAATACAGTTGTCTGTGTTCGACAGGGTATAATTCTAAGGGTTTTTCACGAAAGTTCTGTTCGTTTTATTTTATTTTAACCACCTACTGAATAAGTGGGCGATAAGTGACACCACACAAGAATTGGTATAAGAAAGTCAATACAAAAAACGTACGCAAAATCATATAAGTTTATATTATGCGGGAAAAAAACACAACTAAATTCATACAATGTATAACAACAGAATTCTGCTACAGATAGGGCATATACGAAATTGGTAATATATTGAAATATAAACCAGATATATAAATAAACAGTATAAATCTTCAATGTTGAATCACTTTATCTGTTTACAAGAAACCAAGCACGTGTTCGTGCTAATGTGTCAAGATAACTAGAAAATTGGGTTTTCAATAATAAAAGAATATTCAAATGTATTAAACAGTCGGAAACTAAATAAAACATGCACTTTTATATTATATAATACTAAAGCTAATTGATTTATATAATCAAGGCAAGGTAACTATGAAATACAATGTACATGAGAGGTAAAACTTCAAATCATAGAATACCTTTCTCTAACAGTTTAAAAAAATATGGCAAATAAAATACTTATTGTTTGATTTTATTAACATGTCAATTGCATACTGATTATACGGTCAATTCACACAATATATTAATCTTCGATAAATGTTCGGTAAATTTCGTGAGATGTGAGTAATAGGGTGTGATTAAATTCAATTTTTCAACGAAATCATTGCACCGACCGTTATAGCGCAATAGGGTAAACTGCAGTTTTATAATTCCTAAATGTCGGACGTGTTGTAAGATCGAGACCTCGTAAGTCCATATTCTTTTCTTATTTATATCTATTTTCCACATTATTGAAGCTATGATGTTTTATGTTGTCTTTTTGGTTTCATAATATGTTTTGCATTGATTTTGGTAAAGACTATTCCTTTTTTAAATAATATAGTTTAAGGATTAATATTTAGAATTAATTCTGATTAAAATCAATAAATCTCATTTCATTGTCGTAAAATACAATACAAAACTTGACCAATCAGTGTTTCTAAATTGTTTTATATCCGTGTAGACAATTTGCAAGCACTTGGCCATTTTCATTAAAATATTCTTAAAAATAAAAAATGAAAAGGTCTAAAAAAACAATGACAAAAGTAGGGGTCGAACCACTGACCTCTCATGTATGAGGTAATCACTTAATCGACTGTGCTATTGCGGATTTGTTGAGAACATATACATCATGCTAGTGTGAATTTTCCAAGTTATATTTACCCCATATTAATTCTGGTAAACTACACGAAATGAACCGAGGTAGAATCAAATATTTAAATTAGTGCTATAATGTATTCATAATTGACAGGTCAATAAAATCAGATTATATCTGAATGTTAGATGTTGTAATTCGGCATTTAAACCATATCAGCTGCTATATAAAACATCGGCTGTGGATTTTAATGAACTATGTCACCACGTTAGAATTTAAACTTGAAGTGATTTACTAAAGCTGTAGGATACTACGCACGGAATTCACGTGAAAGAGATAACGGTGTAAACTTTTAAATCAGTTTTATAAACGCTTAGACGAGTGTTGATACCGTCATGCATTAATTTCCCGCTAAATTATAACGCTTTATGTATTAAAGAAAACAAACTACATATTTAAGTTGTTTTCTACAGCTGTCAATTTGGTTTTGGTGGAGGGAAAATTTGATACTGCACAATAATTGGAGGAGTCAGTCCTAACAATAGAAAATTATGTAGATAATAGACATTTAATTATCATATAATGTATGGCTTTAACAGATAATAAAAGGCTTCTTGTGTACAATTACTAGTATATAATTTTTGTAATTAATATAGGGTATCCTGTGAGAACCGTAAATGCGTGACTGTATTTGAAGCCCGATTCTATTAGTTTGAAAAAAAAACGGGTATTGTAAACAGTTTTTATCACGTCTCGATGACTGTGTGTAAATTGATACGAATGTTAACAAATATAAAAATCAATTGGTTAACATTTATTGAGCTATCTCTTTCCAATTATTTATGACCTATCCTAGACTTCTACAGTCATTATACAAAGACTATATAATACGGCCGTATAATCTTAATTATATTATTGGACTACACTACGGCCTTTTTACAAGAAGTTACGTACATTGCTATCAGACAAAAACATTTTACCATTTACCAAATCATACAATGACGGTAACAGAAAAATTAAACATAATTTAATATATAAAACAAATAGGTTAATATAAACAGTCATGTGTAGTATATCTAAACTTCATTCGCCTTATAAGTGGACGTACTTTTCAATTCAAGATACGATACTTTCTTTGCACAAATCTGTGTAGACATAAAGTCCTTCATCCGTTTTGCTGATCAAAACTCCTTTCTCCGTATTTTGAAATAGTGCAAGCACAACTTTCCATTTTCCGTATAAATACAAGTGTAGCTTTAACTTTATATTTATAGGTGATGTTATTAAAGGAGAATTGGTTACTCTCAACGCTTTTAACTTAGATGTCAGTTTCCATTTTTTTGCATTACTTTATATCATGGAATAAATCTTTAAAAAATCCAATGGCTGTTGTTTTTACAATCAGTTGAATATATCGGATGCTTTTAACACTAAATTAGTTTGTGGTGTCAGAGGGAGAGCTAGGGACTCAATGTACACATTTGCTCACTTCTTCGGTCTAAGTTATTATGATTAGTTCATGTATAATTGAATGCACAAGCATTCTATTTATCAGTCAAATAACGCATGAGCATTTCAGAGCGCCTCCTAGATGAGTGCTGTTGGAGGCGGTTCTTCTCAGGGAGCGTATTTGGGAGCGCCTCTTCCTCATTGGGTCTATTCGGGAGCACCTCCGCGTCCGGAAGAGCATTTAGAAACACCTTCTCCCGAGGGAGTGTATTTGTAAGCGCCCCTACCCTTGAACGCATTTGGGAAGTCACTTTCCAAGGGGAACACATTTGAGAGCGTCTCCTCCACAGGGAACGCATTTGGGAAGCGCAACGAAGGCAGTGTTTTTGTTTTGAATGCCTTCAAAATTACAAGGGGCAGTGATAGTGCAGCTTTAATCAACAAATATTAAAATAAGGACTAAAACCTTGTGTTTAATAAATGTGTAATTAGAAGACAGTGTATCTCCTATCCATTTGGATATTAAAAATTATATTGTTAAGTTTATCAATATGCTGTATGTACTGAGGATTAGAGTTTTATTACAAATATTATAGTCTACTTCAATGTAAAAGTGAAGAATACCTATTGTAAAAAAAAAACTCGCCCCTTCACCGCTTCCACCCCATCCTCCAAAAGAAAACACACACAAAAACAACAAAACTGAAAATGTGGTGTTTTTATAATGCTATATGTAACCTATTATAATTATATACTGTATACGTAAGCTTTGTATATTGATTTCCTCTAAATTATCAAAATATATGTTACTAATGAATGCGTGTCTAAACATGTTTTCTTAACTATCACCCCTGTGTATGTAACCCTTAGGAGATTATATTTCTAATAAGCCCAGTGGTCAATTTAAAAACAAAATAAGATCAAATGTTGTATGCTATCTAGACACCAATATCTCGGTAACTTTCCGTCCTTGTGAGCCCATAATATACTTTCAGTTTCCCTTATCATATGGCAAAGTTATAGTCCAGACACTTAAGACATTGTGAGAATGTTAACCTTCAAACTATAAGTGTGACACTGACCTTAAGGTTGGGAAAGGGGACTTTGTTCTACATATCATCATGATGTGGTTGACATCTGTGCAGAGTAATTTCAAAATCCTTCAATGCATGACAAAGTTACAGTCAGGACATTAATGTTGTGTATGTTTGGATGCACATACAGACATATGGTTAGATTTTAATTTTCCGCCCTTCGGGGGGAGGGGGGGGGATAAAAATAAAAAATACTCTATAGATAATCTAAACAACATCAGGCGAAATCAGAATGAACAATTGTGATGTCTAAACAAAACAAAGTATTTTAATGTTAATATTTTCTATATATACATGTATATATATGTATTATAAGCACATAATGATAAAACCTTATAAAAAATTAATCATGCTTAAGGATATTTTACAGTTAACAAAGTTAAATATAATAAGCAAAAAAAATAGAACATATAATTATATAAGACTAAAATATACGTTGTGATTTTTTAGAACAGTCTCTTTATTTTATGGAACCTTTATTTGTGAAAGAAATGTTGAATTTACACACGGAGTTCTTTCATTTCAATATCAGTCGCAACACATAACTTGATGTTGCAACAACATGTTTAATTGTTAATTCATTACCAACAGTTTGACAACATGTGTATCTCGTTAAAAACGACGTTAATTAATATTCAGATATTCCACGATTTGGCCATTTGTTGGTATAAAGATAAGACGCAAGACGCAAATTATTAATGACACGCCAAAAAAAATGTGCACTACAGCGATTTAAATGACGTCTACATATGTATACACGGAAATGCTTTTTCGTGTGTTATCTAGGTTTTTAAAGTTTATTTTACGTTGCAATCAAGACGAGAGTTTATAAGATAGAGGAGGAGTTAGAAGTCGGTGTCTATGATTTATGGAATACAATACATGTATACAAAAAACATGAATGTTTATAAATGGAGATGTGCATCAAATGATTGAAAATTGAACATTGTCTTTATTTCATTTTTTTGTTATTTTGTCGTGTAAGTCTATATAACACTAGAAATGTGTCCAAAGGACACGGGTGCCCCCACACTCCACCGATTTGTCAATCTTATGCATCTAGGTCAAATCTTTTTTTGGTACATGTGCCCAAGTTGTAAACTTAAAATCGTTTATTAAGTAAAGGGCAAATACTACAAATACTGATAAATGCACACGAAAAACCCAAGATGCACAAGTACACATGCTGACCAACATGCTTGTTAACTTTCAGGCATACAGGTCAAATACTTTTTGAATTACGTGTAAGTTTAAAATTGGAAATATTTACTAAGTCAAGGGCAATAACTCTAAAAATACTAAAAATATCCACCCGAAAATACCCAAGTGCACATCTGCACATGCTGAGCAACATTCCTCTAGGTCAAATACATTTTTAGTTACGTGCGACACAAGTTGAAAATTGGAAATTTTTACCAATTCAGGGCAATAACTCGAATAAATACAAATAACATCCACACGAAAATACGCAGGTGCACAACTACATATGCTGAGCAACATTCCTGTAAGGTTTCATGACTCTAGGTCAAAGACTTTTTTAGATACATGCGACACAAGTTGAAAATTGGAAATTTTTTACTAATTCAAGGGCAATATCTCTAAAAGTACTAAATATATTCACACAAAAAATACCCAGGTGCACAATTACACAAGTTAAGCAACATTCCTATAACGTTTCATGACTCTAGGTCAATTACTTTTTGAGCTACGTGTGACACAAAAAGAGAACGGACGGACGGACAAGGGTAAATCTAAATGCCCCCTCCCCCACATAATGGGTGCTCAAAAAGTAAGAAACAAATTTGCGTTGTGTGCTTGCTGACTTCTGTTATCTGTGTATTTGCTGGTTCATTTCATTGGCAGATCTTGTGCTGAATTTCTAGCCAGCTTCACATTCCAGCTCAACATTCGAATAGAAGCAAGAGGGCCAAAATGGCCCTGAAATCGCTCACATGTATAAAGGCCCCTGGGCCAAGGTCAATTTTAAACCAGGGACTTTTATTTGAACAAACTTGGTAGACACCCATTTGAAGATGTTTTATACTAAATATCTTAGCTTTAGCTCTTTAGGGTTTTTAAAAGAAGATTTTTTTAAAGATTTTACTTTATACATATAGGGAAAACGATGACCTCCGCTAGCAGGGGCCAATTTTGACCCCAGGGCTTTTATTTGAACAAACTTGGTAGACACTCACTAGAAGATATTTCATGCTTAGTATCTAAACTCTTGTTCATTGGGTTGTTATAAGAAGATTTTTTAAGTCTTTTTACTATACATATATAAGGAAAATCAATGACCCCGGGACAAGGCCAATTTTAACCCAAGGGCCTTATTTGAACAAACGTTGTAGACACCCATTTGAAGATGTTTCATGCTAAATATCTCAGCTCTAGCTCTTTGGGTTTTTTTTAAAGTAGATTTTTTTCTGTTTTTTACTATATATACATAAATGGAAGAACGATGACCCCATGGGTGGGACCAATTTTTACCCCAGGGCTTTTATTTGAACAAACATGGTAGACACCCGCTAGAAGATGTTTCATGCTTAATATCCAAGCTCTAGCTGTTTTGTTTTTTTAAAGAGGATTTTTTTAAGTTTTTACTTTTACAAATACGGAAAATCAATGACCCTCGCGAGTGGAGGGCTTTTATTTGAACAAACTTGGTAGACAGCCACTAGAGGATGTTTCATGCTTAATATCTAAGCTCTAGCTATTTGGGTTTTTTAAAAGAAGACTTTTTAATTTTTTACTTTATACAAATAATGAAAATCGGGTCGGGGCCAATTTTAACCCCAGGACATTTATTTGAACAAACTTGGAAGACACTGACTAGACGATGTTTCATGCAAACTAGTTAAGCTCTAGCTCTTTCGGTTTTTTATAGAAGATATTTAAGTTTTTTCTTTCGGTTGCCATGTCAACCAGAGTTCTGCTTGGGAACAATTTTTAAAGTTGACTACCAAAGAAACATTCCTTTGAAGTTTGGATGAAATTGGCTTTGCGGTTCATGAGATGTCGTTTAGGGTAAAATTTACGGACGGACACCGGACGAAAAGCGATCACAAAAGCTTACTTTGTGAAAGGTGAGCTAAAAAATACTGTCGAGATTAGTGATATGCTAAATGTCTAGCCAGCTTCAAATCCCAACTAGACATTTAGAAAATAGACAAAAAACAATGTCGATCGGACAAAATGTCTAGCCAGCTTCACGTCTCAGTTAGTTCGACACTAAAAATAGAGACACGAAACGAATGTCCAGCTTTATGTTGTGCTAAATCTATAGCCAGCTTCAAATATTGACATTAATAAAGATACAAAAATCGAATGTGAAGCTGAAAGTCGTACTGAATGTATAACCAGCTTCACATCCCTGCTCAACGTTCAAAATTGAGACAAAACAAATATCGAGCTTAATGCTGAACTGAATGTCCAGCCAGGTAAATATCTCGGTTTAACATTCAAAAAGAGACTAAAAACGGATATCGAGCTGAATGCCTAGCCACTTTCACATCTAAGCTCAACGTTGAAATGAAACATCGAGCTTAACGTTTGTGCTGAATGTCTAGCCAGCTTCAAAATAACAAGAATAAAGATCAACAAGGCAAAGGCAACGTTCACAGGACGCCGAAACATTGACATTCATAAAGAAACAAAACACGAACGTTCAGCCAAAGTTTGTGCTGAAAGCCTAAGATTCTTCATAACACAGCCCGACATTAAAAAAGAACAAAAAAAGTTGAGCTGAATGTTGTGCTGAAAATCCGACCAGTATCACATTGAAATTTAAAAGAAAAAGACGAAAAACGAAAGTCGAGCTGTTTGATGTGATCAATGTCTAGCAAGCTTCACATCCCAGCTCGACATTGAAAAAGAACAACCAAAAAAACGAATGTTGAAGTGAATGTTGTGCTGAATAACTAGCCAGTATCACAATCCAGCTCTGCATTCAAAAAGAAGACAAAAAAAACGAATGTTTTGCTGAATGTCTTGCCAGATTCAAATTTCAGCTCTTCATTCAGTAAAGAGACATAACGAATGTCGAGTTTAATAGTGTGCTAAATGTCCAGCCAACTGTAACTCCCATCTCAACACTGAAAGATCGAATGCCTAGCTGAATGGTATGCTGAATGTCTAGCCAGATTCCCATCCTATCTTTTCATTAATAAATCGAATGTCGAGCTGAATGTTTAATACCGATCTCTGTGCCAACTTTCTTGACTTTTTGAATTAATTCTTTTTAACACAACATCATTTTGTTCATGATTTAAAATTGCAGTTCGTCCATATCATTAAAATTCAAGTAAAAATGAAGTTTTATTTCTTTCAAAGCAGCATATTAATCTATGTCAATAGACATGTACGTTATATGTGATTTTGTCAATATCATAAACATTCAAGTAAAAGTGAAGTTTTGTTAGATTATGATATAAAGCAGTTACACGGATACATTCATGTCTGGATATGATTGAATTGCTCTTCAGTTTCAAAAACAAGCATACACTCTTCAAAACATTTCGATTAAATTGCATTGCATTGAATTTGTATATGCACATATTCATGCACTTCATTGACAAAATTGTTTGACGATTAACAATGTAAGTTTAATAAGATTGATAGCATCTGTACGTCTTTTTGCTCTTTATGTACAGATGCGAAGTTTGTCAATAACATAAGCGCACAAAATTCCAAAAACAGGGATTATAATCAGTACCCATTCAATGATAGAAACAACGAAAGCGAATATGATAACAGTTTTGTCACAGCATTCCTCGGCACCATCGCATCCACCAACCAGGTATGAATAATTCCAGAATACCAGAAAACTTCCTGCGAGAAAAAACAACAATTTATTTGTAATTAAAAAAACTTTCCCTAGGTTAACCTAGTTTAAACTACATGTGTTCTAAGTGTCATATATATTTGAGTAATAAAAGCAATGTTTACTAAGGAATAACAGTAATTACTTGTATAAATTCTGAATAACTAATTTGTTTTGCAGTAATCAAAATGGAATTATAAAACGCTATTTATGTTTGATCAAAATTAAACTTATGTCCTGTTATACAGTGTGTTAATACTTTTCAATTATTTGATTTTTTTTACAAACGACTTTGCACAGTTTGTGATCATATGCATTTGTTAGCGGTAATAATGATAAAAACAGAAAATACGGATAGAATGATAAATAAATCTTAGTCGCACACCCTGGAAATGGAATAGAATGGATATATAATTGTCGGGAAAACATATATAAGTTTTTTTGTTGTTGTTTTTTACGTTTGTTTTGATCCCATACTTTCGTACGTATCTTAATTAATTAAAACTTATTCGAAAGTCCGTAAAATTTCATGAACGAATAAACGATTAATATTTTCGGTATAATTTACGTTAACACTCATGTATGTTCTTATCAATAAACGTCTTAACAGATGTTAACATGATTAATTTAGATATATATATATATATATAAACAAGGGATAAAAATCAACTAAAAATACCGAATGAAACTTTATATACAGTTAGTACCAAAAAGGTTCACTCAACAAAAGCTGGTAAGGATAATAAATAAATAAGCGTATTTTGTATAGGTTACAGGAAGTGTGACCGTTATTGAATGACTAGTTAATTTTGGACATTATATTTTTATTTATCCAAGTATTCCACTCTTAGTCAATGTTAATGTAGATAATTAAAATTTCAAAAGGGGAACAAAATATTTTTTAATGAGAAGCACGGTTCACAGAACTGAGATCCCAGTGATTTTGTGTTTTGGGGTTTTCATAGAAGGAGTTCATTGAATGAATATGTTTTTCTAATTTGAACAGGAAATATATTGAATACGTTGAAAGTTTTAAGTTACGATCTTTTTATCCTTAACTTGCATATATCACTGTTTTAACATAGATGATTTAATATAATACATATGCACCCTTTTATTTCATTTCATTTCATATCATTCTGTATCAAACGTAATGATATCAAACTTAAACAAATGATCGGCAATGTGCCGTTAAAACCCAATCCAAATAAACGAAATGGTCACACACCGACGAGTATTCCAATGCAGTGTTCGACTGGTACTATCAAGATGATTTGCATCGTTGCCGAAGTCGCGCATAGAGCTCCTATTAAGAACAGTATATCAACAACTGTTTCGACACCTGCTGATCCAGCCAGATAAATCGGAATTGATCGATTTGCTTGACAATCATTCAAGTAAACTAAACCTGGCATAATAAAGATATGTAAATATTGGTGTTTGTTTTTGCTATTCCCAGTTTTTTATAAATACAAATTAAACGAAATAAAAAAGTATCTCCCATCTCTGTAAAATCATGATACTATTTGTATTTTACACTTAAAAATATTATATTAAATAGTTCATAACAATAAAATCTTTTCAGGTGCGACTCCGAGGGATCATTTTGTTTCCAGATTTTCATGTACAAATTGTATTAGAAAATAGTTTGCAGCCCTTAAATCTAGAGCTTTCTCGTTACAGAATTAAAGTCAAGTTATTAGGCATCTATGGCCTAATAGTTTTAGTTTACTTTGATAAATTCCGAAAGCGAACGGAACGTTGGTGTTTCTACTCAGGCACCCGTTCGTGCCTGATTCAATGTCCACCTAAACTAGTTTAGCTGAAAAATCGCTATATGACCACGAATGTCTTGGTTCGTCGTTCACACTAGCACAAACACCGCAAAAAGATTCAACTTCATTCGATAAGACGACCTTAGTGTTTGTGTTTGACTGTTGGGTTTTACGGTGAACAGTAAGGTGAACGTTTCGGTTGTCTGAAATTAAAGCGTTTTTGCTTGCGTTTGCCGTATATCGTGCGTGCGTATATCGTGCAATGGGCGTTTTATGAAACTCTTCCTCAAGAGTGCATCGTTCACAAGCTTTTTACGTTTTTTTTTTTTTTTTTTTTTTTTTTTCGTGCATTATTTTTCGTTTATCGTAAGTTTGAAAGCATTCGTTTGTTATCCCCAGAAACGTTCGTCAAAACGTTTAAGAACGGTGTTTTGCGTCTTTTACTTTTGGAAGTTAAAGAAAAAGATATATTCGTTACTTGAAGATTTAACAGATGTTCAGTGTCCTTTTCGAAGAATAAAATACATTAATGCTAAATTATATTTACATAAAAGTGCGTGACCTCATGGTGCAAGCCGCATTTCGACGTGCTTTATGCCGAAGATTAGAATTTTAATCCTATTTTACATATACGCCAAGGATAAGATTAATCTTTAATTGCAACATTTTTGTTCAGAAAACATGTGTTTATATGCGTAACAATGTGTCCGATATCAGATTCGTCAGACATTATGTGATGGTAATTAGACAGTTCCAAGTCGTAAAATACTTCCCTACTATGTATGAACATTTGTCCTCGAATTTCTCAAGGTTACCAAGCAATGTGAATTAAACTCTGGGCTATATGTCAGTCACAGTGTGAGAAAAGTGTGCAGCCTGTCAGGGACTCGAACCCGTGACCCTCAGGATATTGTACGGCGGCTCAACCCACTCAGCTGTTTGACCGCTTACAAATTTGTGCTTAATAGTGAACAGCTTTAAATCGTGACAGATACAATAACAATGTATTGTCATTATTATAATTGTGTTTAACTTAAAAAGGAGGACACATGATTAATAGTTCATACATGTTTATCCATGTATAGTGAAAACTGTACTTATACATTGTACTTTTTTATGGTGGCTTATTTGTGTTTTCGTATTGCTATATTGTCTTACAAACGAAAAAAGCTAGCCTTTTTATAGTGTTTATACAATTCTATGGTGGTTGATTTGTGCCATATCGTACTTTATCTTAGCTAGGCACAAGGCGAAAACTCGAAAAAACGACAAAGTTGTTTTGTCGTATTTTTCGTCGAGCGCCCATGGTACGTTGTTTTTCCATGTCTTCGTTAAAAACAACAATAAACATGTAAAACTATAAAACAAAAATTGATATTTTAATCTGATCAGATACGTCTTATACACGACTGAGAGAAATGTTCATTGTCAAAACGTCCCATTACCAACTCAGCCATCATAAATAAGAAGTCTGTGACGGGATTGACTCTGCCCAAGAACTTAATTTTGAAATAAGTGTCCCTCCGTAACATAAATAAGACATTAGCTGTCCTTGACAATTTACTACGCACATATCAGAAATGATCAAAAATAATTCAGTATATGATATTTTTGAGATTTGAAGTTTACCTACATCCAAATGGACCAGTACTGACAGAGGGTCTGTTGCAGTTGCCTAGGAATCGTCCCGTGCAATTCCACCATTAAACCTCTCATCACTGGTAATGGACATTGATTTAACCTCAATACAATATAGTTGGATTCCATTTAAATCATTATATAATATTGCATAATGTTACTCAAGGAGTAAAGCATATGCAATCTTCATATATCTTCTATATATTTTTGAAGAAATTCTAAGAGTTTTAACTTTAACTTAGATTTAAGTTTATTTTAAGGTTTAATGATATTTAAATTATAGACATGTCAATCGTATCATTCACTAGTTTACTGTTGATTATAATTGCATTGAGTAACTTTGTAGAACTTTCTATTGCACTCTTCAACAGTAACCTAGCATGGCCTAAATGCAAATATAAAGTTCTTAGAAACACATATAAATATATATTTTTACGCTAAAGAGAGTAAAGTGGAACATATTATCACATAAGACAGGCTAAGGCCCCTTTACAATTTCCCATAACTCTATAATAGGAAAAAATAGCCATTTTTCTTTTTAGTATTTTTTTAGATTGGTGTCAAGTTTTCAAGCATCATGGCTTAGTTTAGCCAAAATATTAGTATCATATGTACCCCCCCCCCCCCCTCCCCTAGTAATAATTTTAGAGTCTTGAAAATCTTTACAATGAAATTTTAACTGACTGACAAGGTTTAAATGAATAAATGTAACATTCCTCAACCAACCCCAGCTAATATTTTCTTTTAACTTGACTGCATTTATTGAGTTTAGGACTGAAGATTGTTATTTATTATTTAAAGTTATACTAATTTCATAGAATTCAAGGAGAAAAAAAAATAGCTTGATGACCTCTTTTGATTCAGTAGCCTGAGACAATAAATAGACATGCACTTAGGAATATAGACTATAGTCAATGTATTATCATATAAGTCTCGTCATTTTAATTTTATTATCATATTAACTGGAATTCCATAAATATATGTACATTATCTAACATCAATAATTCCCAGTATCTGTTAAACATATAGGAAAGCTTATTTTATGAACAATCTAAATAAACAAAATAAAATGTTTTCAATTTCACACAGTGATTGGAGGAACCCTGTAGCAGGATACAAATATAGATTTTGGTATTGACTAACTGAAATACACGTATACAAGTATATACAGCAAGTAACAAAAATCTTTTCGACAGCATTTTAAAAAGAAACATACGTTACCATTGTTTTGGAGCTAATCCATTCAAAGAAGACTCCAAACAAGAAAGAAAATTAACATGTGTGTAACACTGACATATAAACCACAAATTATGGCGAGTTATAGGCTCTTGCATCATTTTTCAACCCACTTTCAATATAAAAATAAAACAAACGTTACAGAAACATACGTTACCAACTTTTTAAAGTAATTTTATCAAAAGGGAAATTGATCTCAGAAAGCACGTATAATAGCAACACTAACTTCAATTTGACATTAGAAAGTAAATTTTGTTAACTGTGGTCGAGTTTTAACTTGTTTAAGTAACCACAGTGAAACAAACGTTTCTTTTATCAAACAGACTTTATATTGTTTACACATGCACACATCAAAACATAAAATCGCATTTTTATGACAATAGAATGATGTACATTTGATTCCTATATAAAACAGTCGATTTTACATGTAAGTTTCAATTCCATGATAAAGTTCATAAATAAGCCAGTGGAAAACATACGTTACTCCAACTTACAATTCAACAATTTTTGAAAATTAAAGATAAAATTGGGATTAGCATGCCTGTTAGTAACGGTTACCTTGTATTAGATGTAAGAAGATACAAAAGTGTTTTTGCAAAGGAAAGATATGTTAATAATATGTTGATGTACCAGCAGAAATGTTAAAAATATATTACAAGATATTGAAGTTCTCAGCAACAACTGATTCGATCTGCAAAGAGCTTGCTGGCCGTATTTCATTCTATATATAATAATGTAAAATAATATCCATAAATACAAATTAGTTTACAAAAAATAAAATTGTTTTCTTAATCTTTACTTGTATTTGAATAAAATGAAACATACGTGACATCCTATTTGGGGATGAATATAGAACTGCTTAGCAATAAATTTTCCATATATGAAAAAAGTGGAAAGTTGAATGTTTTGAAAAGCTAAATACAACATTTGTGTATGCATTGGACCTCTCATATATGAATGAAGACATAAAATAATCATTTCCAAAATTGACTCTTCCTGCTTTCTACGAATATTTAACTTTGAAGAAATTAACTGAAAATGAGCAAGGTACCCAACTTTCTTGAATTTTCCTGGGTTTGAAAGTCTTTCTAGATATAGAATTTACATATTTTGATATATTTTACAGACATTTGTTATTTATATGCAGCCAATATGTGACATTATTAGATCTGAAATCTACGTTACGGAGGAAATACAGTATCATTACCGAAATAAATGCCATCCTGTTATATTATAGTTTCTTGTTGAAAATATTTCTGGCAAACTTGCAAAATACACTAAACATTTACTTCAGCGATAAAAAATTACACAGTGACAACATCAAATTTTTAATATTTTTCAACCTCAAATGCTTTATTTTATTGAGAATGGGCGTATAAAAGAATTTTATAATTTCTGCATATTTATTATATATAGACATACAAGTATAACAATAATTTGTAACTTGTCTGGACATGCTTGACTAACCTAAGATTTTACAACCTTGTTTAGTCATCATTGAGATTCATTTATGATAGACTGAAGGGGTTAAATAATAATAATGATAATACCACAGTTTTTTTCCTCTACTGGGTGTAATCGGAAACTATATGGAGTTCTACTCTGTGATATTAATCACCAACCTGGTCATAGGACTGTGAGGAAGGAAGGCCCGCACCAGGTCAGATTGAAGAACAAGACGGGCAGAGCATACCGAGGTGTTAAGATCCCCCATCGGAAAGAAAGTGTTCCCTGTCCCTGCACTTTTACTATAATTGTTTATTTGGTGTAGAGATCCGGGGTCCAATACTGGCATGGTGTTTGGAATAACAAAATGATATTGATAAACTGAAAGATAAGGAAATTTATTACCCTTCACTTTTATCGTAATGTTAATTTCCCATAGGCCTCTGGGAGATATTCTTACTGTTAATGCAAGTGTACCACGTGACAAAGAATTTTGTACTGTTATATAGGTAACAGTATTTTTAACAGTATAAAAGCTCGTCACGTGGTCTATTTTCTAATTAAAATGGATAAATAAAACACAGCTAATTGTATGTTTATGACTGGTAGATATCATCACTTTCTTAAAGAAAGCAGGCCTACAGTACACTTAAAACTTGCAAGGTAAGGACAGTTTAGTTATTGCTATTCTTGGTTTATTTTTGATACAGCTAGATTTAAAAATTGAGATAATCACAGTATTTGTTCAGGGTAATAAAATAAATAACACATGGGTTTGTGGGTAACAGTAAAACTATCATCCCGAGGAAATACTGTTACTCGAGGCGTTATATATATATATATATATATATATATATATATATATATATATATATATATATATATATATATATATATAATATATATATATATATATATATATATATATATATATATATATATATATATATATATATATTATGCATTTTTTTCTATAGTAAAGTAACAGCTATAAGAACTGGTCACTATTTAGAGGAGAAGAAGTGTTAGTGGATGGATAGCTTAGTCGGTAGCAAGCTTCGGACAGTATTTCGGGGTCCCTGGTTCAAGTATCGGTTAGGCTGCACATTTTTCTCACCCATTGACATTTGACTCCCAGCAGATAGTAATAAAACAATATGAAAAATTGTCTTGGAGGTTCATACCATCACCAATTTAACAGGAGACTGTAATGGTATAAAGCTCCTAGTCCTAATTCACATTGTTCACTGTACCCGTTAGGAATTCAAGGAGGAATTTCAATATAGTAGGGGAATATGTCACATTTCTAAACAGTTCATTTTCTATTGGAGTTAATGTGTAAGCGGCTTGATAGCTCTGTCGGTTGGACCGCAGGTTTGACCGCAGAATGGTATTCCCATTTTTCCAGGTTCAAGTCCCGGTAAGACTGCACATTTTTTAAACTTTTGACCGTAACATAAAAAATGTATTAGGTGTTAAATGTTGCTTAGTATTAATATAGCATTTTAAAACATAAAGTGCATGAATTTCAACTACTAATTGCTATGAAAATTATTTTCTGATTCGCTTTTAGGTAAATCTATATACTAAACAGTTAACACATGATTCACAATTTGTTGAGTCCCACGTTACTCCCAACCTGGCACCAAAGGAGGTACATTAGGATGACATGATTCCGTATTCTCCTCATTATTTTCTCACTTACAGTTTCGGACCCAAAGTAAAAGTATACTCTTATTCATTAAATTTCATAAGGCTTGTGTGGCCACATCACCGATGTAACTGTCACCTAGAAAATATATTGCCCTTGTCTTGAAAATGTGTTGGACTGCCTATCTGCAATGTATGCTCTTCCTTTTTGTAAAAAATATCATATTATTTTCGTTGCTGCTATGAAAATGATCTGATTATTTGAAAGAGGATTTACTAAAGTTTTTACCATTCTCTTTTATTTTTGTTTACGCCGCGAGACGTGTCAACGTTATAAACTCTTATCTAAGAGATTACTGGGCTAAAGTAAAGTAGACGAACCCGTTGAATTATTTTTTTTAATTATCGCACGATAGCTTATATATTCTATTGGAAATCATTCGTTGAGGCTGAGACAATAATTTACTTTTATGCCAAGCTGATTGCATTTCAGCTCTAATATACACCCTTTTAAAATACATGTTAAGCAATCTTTTAATCAACTCGCTAAACGATCTAGCTGATTGTTAAAACTAATATGATTACGCATTTAATTAAACGTTCGGAAACGTTTTTTTTATTTTGCGTGAGTTCTAGTGTTTATCATTTAGCATATTTCATTTAGCGTATATCGTTTTGCATGCGTCTTCGTATTTCGTTGTGGAACGTTCGTTCTTTTAACGTGTCACGTGCGTGCTTTTTTTTACGAGCGTAAACAGAAGCGTACACCCTACTGTAAGTCATATGGCGTCGTAACAGGAAAAATGTATTTGACTTACCAAAGATTTTACAACCTTAATAGCAGCACCAGGTGTCAAAAGCACCTCACGTGCTGGAGCTATACGATGCGTACTGTTTATCGCCTCTTACGATAATACAGGGATAATTGGCGGCTTCAATTCTGATGATAAACCATTAACTGTAACCTCTTAGCCACAAAAATATCTAAGCATCCCTAATATAACCAAGGACAAGCAAAATGATTTTAATCACAGACATACCAATTATGAACTTTAGAACTTGCAAGAATATACCGACACCCATCCATATACATACACATTTAACTGAAATGTAACAATTCGTATCAGACGAAATATATTCTTTATTATAAGATAAAAACGACAACAAATGTTTCGTAAGATACGTTATGTATATACAACCAAATATGGGATGAGTATTTTTAAGTTTATTATCATAAAAGACACATTCATCAAATACCCAGCATCAATGAAGCATGGGCCAAGAGTAATTCAAATTTACCCTACAGGAAAATAAATTCAACGTGTTAAAAATTGTCATATAGTAGAAAAAGTATCAGAAACGCAATCGTTTATAAACATTTTACATCAACTGTACAATATCTCTCTCAGAATAAAGAAAAAAAAACATTGCAAGAGATTTACTATAAACTGTCGTGTTAAGCTATACAAATATGTAAAACTGCCTACCAAATGAATCATCGTCACCTTTACCACTGCCTCGTCCGCTTCCCATTCTTGATAGCAATCAACGCCTGCCCTGTAATAGTTTGACCTTTCTTTTTAAATAAATTATTTGATTTTGCTTTGATGTGGATTTTTGTTTCATTTCTTGAAATAACATTTAATCTTGATTATGTTAATACATAACATTAACATAATACAGGAATTTATCATTTTAAAAAATTAAAGAAAACACCCTAAAATAAGCCAAAGTTAGTGATGAAACAAAGCAGAGCCAGTTTCTTAAGTACTTTAAGAATATTAAGCAATATAAGGTGTTTATTATGTAACAGAGAATAAATTGATAAAAATAGACATTTTGCAGGATACATATTAGTACTGCACCTTAAATACACTTTTTATTCCGTTAATATTATTGTGTTTTTTGGGTTTTTTTGGGGTTTTTTTTCTTTTAAGGTAGAACGCGAAATTTTGCGAGCATTCGAGTAGCGTCTTGAAAATTGGCATGTAAATAATTATCCATATTTTAGATTAGAATTCAAATAGTTTAAGCCATTTTATGTACATGTGACTTCAAAGTTGACAACCAAAGCCTGTTTTAGAACATGATATCGTTATGCATCCTTGGCAACTGTTATGGGCCATAGGCAGACAGAGCGTCTTAAAATTTTCAGGCTGAAATTATGTTTTCCTTTATGATATAAAAATATGGTATTACGCCGAAAAAATGTTTGAAAAATGGAAGAAAATGTAAATCTTGTTGTTCAGATTAGCCACATTTTTCAGCTTTAAAGAAGCTTTAAAAAAACTATTCTGATATATCTTTAAACGTCCTATACAATGTATACTCAGTCTAAATGACAATACACGTGTTTTTATTTCCCCTTACTTTAAAAGTCACGCTATCACAGTTTTGGTTCAATTTTGTTTTTGTTGTTGTTTTAGGGTGTTTTATTTTTCTTTCAAAAAAGGGTCCTGTGTAATTATCCTTTTATAAACGGCAGTTCACGCCATAATGACCACTGTGGGAAATATATTGATACACGAATAAATAGTATGAATTCCGTATATCATAAATAGACGGGTAAATATATAAGAATTGATGTGTTGCTTCACGCAAATATAATTGACTATAATTTTATTAAAATAAATTTGAAGATAATATTTTAATTTGTAAATATTTCGCACAGTTATTTTGCATATACTCTGTCATTTTGCTGCAAAAATTTATGCTTACAAGTGAAGTTTTGTTTTTTTACAGGTGAAATAAAATCCATTGTGTAATATAGCTTTGCCTAACTTCTTGTAACCTACAATTAATATTTGATTTCGTATATTTCTAAATTTGCATATGAAATGTAGTTTTGCTTTTTGTTCCCTGTGGCATATTTCTCGATTTAAGTTCATTATCCTACTGCGCAAAGCGTCGCATTCTTCCTTAATAGATTTTCTGTAAGACAATGTAAGTGTGTGGAATTAAAAGTTTAGGCATTTGATATTAAAACTTATTTAAAGTATGTTTAAGGAATTATTTTACCAAGGTCAAAATAAATAAAATCTGGAAGCAAATGTGACACGAATAGAATATGAAAAAGATAGATATGCACGTGAACATAAATAGTTGCATTGTCAATGTAAAAATACAGACGTTTTTTTTTTACTTAGCAAACGTCTGTTTTAGATTATATCACATAATGGAATCTGAGGAAGTTCCCTTTTACTTTTGGCAAAACATAATTAATTGTACTATCTGAATTGATAATTAAATACGAACGTATAATATCTTTAAAAGAAAATTTAAAGTCAGTTATATGATTATATATGTAAACTTACCTAAGAAAATGAACCTTTCGAAAACAAAACTCAAAATAATTAATCACTTAACTATATTTCTTTCATCAAATTTTGAATAACGCGTCCTTGTTATCCAGCACAGTTAAGCTGAATGTATATAAAACATAGCAATGGTTGTTGGCACAACGCCGATCAATGTATCATAGGCTGTCCATGGTACTGTGCTCCAAAACAAAACTGCTATTGAATTTGATAGTTTGATCAATATTTTTTTCAAAATAAATCAAATGTGATTACAAAAATTACACTTTAAGGTAGAATTTCATTCATTAACGAACAAGTCGATAAACATTTTGTCTTGACGATGTTTTATGAATAATAGTTTTACGATAATTTGAAAATACCATACTATTATCTTTTTGTAAAGGACAATGGTTGTTAAAAATTAAATAACTGAGGCGATGTTAACAAGATAGTTCCGATCTGTTTTGTAAAATCAACGGGGTGTCACGTTACGTTTACCCGTTTAAACCAGTACGGTCGGTTTTTATCTGAAAACTGGTTAGACAAACTTTTGATATAAATAACTGATACAAAATTGTTTCTACATGTATATATTAACGTAGTGTTTTTTTTTTGTGTGTGTTTTTTTTAGTTTTACTTAACAATGTATTTTTCCGATCTGATCGAGAACGGAACAGCCCTAATGAAAATAGTTACCTTGTATCGGATATGTATAACTATCCTCTTGAATACAACGTACGGTTGTTTAAATTGTATTTTACACGGTTATTTGGTAGCTTTTTAAAAACGGATAGCATTTTTCTAACCGTGACACCTTTGCTAATCAATGAAAGCTCATTTAGTTAATTTCAAGGTAATTCACAATGTCTAAGAAAAACATTATCTTTATAATCAATGTGTAACTTTATCATTATATTCTTCATTTTTCTCTATTTAAAAAAGGAACACATTGTATCAATATTCCGACATTTTGTAGGCTAACAAATATGACGTCACATATTAGTTGATTTATGACGTCAACATGATTGTACAAACTTTTCTGTACCTGTGGGATACAATTTGGGTTCACATTAAATTTGAAAATATCTCAACACGTAATATATAGATTTCTATGTTTCATTTGTTTCATGTTTCATTAGCATTAACAAAAATTAGCTTGATTGTAATAAGTGTTCAACATATTTTGTTCTATGATATATTTTTTTCTTCTATTTTTATTTCATGATTGACTTTTATTTAATTTTACCCATGAAATATGGTGCTATATCAGTAAAATATTTCATATATTTTAAAGATAAATATGAAATATAGATATGAAAGTGGGCGGAGTCAAAACTCATATTTATTTTAACGGACTTCTTTTGTCTTTCTGTTTGAAAAAATCTGAAAATACAAAACAACTTTCTGTGAATTTTGTTTTGAAAAATTATCTAAAATGATAAAAAATGGTCGAACTAAAAAAAATAAATCCCAAAACCAATATTATTTATCCAGTCATTCACGCTGTACATGTTTAAGTGACGTCACAATTAAGCGCCAAATATCGCGTGCAAAACAAGACGCATCTATATTACTGCGCGCAGTAAAATTGCAGTTGCGTAGAAAGCAAGGGATTTCGTAATCATTTTTCTTTGATACTGAAATTAAATAAAAAGATTATTTTTTCGTTTTTCGTCCCGGCTCGTGAAAATATGTGGCATTTTATCATGTTTCGTGAAAATATATTCAATATTTCAATCAAACGAAATAAATACCCTGTTAGTAACCTGTTGTCGACACCTCGCAACGTACGCATACTGATATATATTTCAAAAGCTATTTCGGATTCGGTTCCGGTTGAAATTATGGAGCGTAAAAAAAAATTGCGGACAATTTTTTGCTTGATAAGTGTCGATTTATGGATAAAAAATATGGTATAATTCATGACGAATGAAGATGGAGTATAAAATAAATTAACAATATCATTATCATGGTGAGCAAGTAAACTTTGATTTGAATTTGTTGGTGTCGCAAATAGCACTTTGGTATGAAACATCTTCTAGTGGATGTTTACCAAGTTTGTTCAAATAAAAGACCTAAAGTCAAAATTGGACCTACCATGGGGGTCTTTGACTTTCATTATATACAAATAGTAAAAACTTAAAACATCTACTTGTTATAAAACTGAAAGAGCTAGAGCTTAGATATTTGGCATGAGACATCTTCTGGTAGATTTCTACCAAGTTTGTTCAAATAAAAGCCCTAGGCTCAAAATTGACCCCGCCCCGAGGGTCATTGATTTTCATTATATACATATAGTAAAAATTTAAAAGATCTTCTTGTAAAAAAACAAAAGAGCTAGAGCTTATATATTTCGCATGAAACATCTTCAAGTAGATGTCTACCAAGTTTGTTCAAATAAAAGCCCTAAAGTCAAAATTGGCCCTCCCCCGGGGTCATTGATTTTCCTTACATGTATATAGTTAAAACCTTAAAAAAATCATCTTGAAAAAAACGAAAGAGCTAGAGCTAAGAAATTTCACATCAAACATCTTCTAGTGGATGTTTACAAAGTTTGTTGAAATAAAAGCCCTTGGGTTAAAATTGGCCCTACCCCGGGGGTCTTTGATTTTCATTAAATACATATAGCAAAAACATTAAAAATCCTCTTGTTAAGAACAAAAAGAGCTAAAGATAAGATACTTGGCATAAAAGATCTTCAAGTGGCTGTCTACCAAGATTGTTCAAATAAAAGGGTAAAAACTGACTCTTTCCCAGGGATCATTGATTTTCGTTATTTGTATATGTCTGGCGTAATTATCTCCCTTTAATAAGATTGACTACTATTTTGAACCAAATATCCTGGCATTTGGTCAATAAATTAAAATTATGACTCTTATGTCAATGATGATGATAATAATAATAATAATAATAATAATAATCATAACAATAATAATAATAATAATAATAATAATAATAATAATAATAATAATAATATCTTTATTTAAAGAAGGTTACACATTAAGAACATACAAAAGCAATCATATATATCTTATTTCCAATGCGGCCTTCTGAAATAGAAACAACAACAACAACAGGACATTCATAGGTAGAAAAATGAATGTATTGTATTTAATTTGTAGAATAAGACAACTCATATACGTTCGACAGACACTAAGTTATTTGTTTAAACATATACGTAAATTTGATCATTCGTTCATTCAGTTGTTCTTCCGTTCATTCATTGATTCATTCATTAATTCATCCATGCATTCCTATGAACATCATGATATGTTTTTATTTTTCTTTAAAACATTTAAGGTAATTTACATTACGAACATTTAATTAAAAGATAATATTGTTCCAAATGTTCATGCCATAATAAGAAAATGTTTGTTTTAGGTCTTGTCCATAATACAATATTTTCGTGACCTAGATCTTAAGTTATATACTTTGTTGTCGGATAACCGATTTCGTCTTCAATTGAGGACATCTGAAAGTTTGTCTTTTTAATATGACGAGAGAGTGTTTCATTTATTTCCAATATTTTATGTTGGATGTAATGGATCATATTAATCATTAAAAAGTATGAGTTTCCGTATCAACTCGAACGTTACTCGACTCTTAAGATTCACACTGAAATTCTAAATTGCAATCTGCATCTTCTATTTCACATAGTGTTTCAGCCGCTCTTTCATCTAAGCAAGATTCGGCTTCTTTTGTAGACATATGGTTCAGTATCACCTCCTTTATTTTCTGATTAGATTCATTTAAATCATATCCATCATCCGACAGTTTGTTTTCAACAAATTTTAAATTGGCTGTTAGGTCCGAATCAATGAAATGCTGTGTGTTTTTCCCGTTTATAAGACAAGATGAACTTGTGTGATAAAAATTTAATGTGTAGGAACAGGACTTATCTTCTGATAACACATTATATTTAGTTTCAACAATGTTTTGCTTCTAATCAAAAGCTGTAGTTTTCTTGGTTCGATCAATCATTTTTGGATCCGAAAAGAATATTTCTGAAGCATACTTAAATAACTCTTACATACCAGTGTTCATTTCCAACTAAATTTCATCTGCTCTAACTGTAATGATCATTTCTTCCCGTTCTGTAGAATTCAATTTTTTCATATCAAGCGCTTTCCGACAGTTCATTTCATAATCTCGCTGCTCCTGGGAATGAATTTCTGAATATTTTTTATCGTTCAATTTTAGAATTCTGACAACACTTTTTTTGATTATTGTTTTTCTTCCGATATCAATGACACAATTTAATGAAATTAACACCATCGTGTCCAGATTTTTTTTCTTATCCAATCCGTCTTTGTATTGAAAATCTCAAAATAATCAAAAGATTTAATTATTGTTAATTTTGACGTTTCGCCGTTGAACTTCAGGTCAGTTTCGAATATGGACCACCTTGGGTCAAAAACTATGTCACACAGCCTAAATATTGGATAACCTTGTTTATACTCTAGGGGCTACTATTCCAAACAAAATAAAAAGTTCCTGAAAATTGGTCAGATTGGTTGTTACAATGATTTCAAGGTCAAGTTTGAATAATTATGGGTCACTTGTGTTCAGAAACTAGGTCACACAGCCCTTATACGGAAAATCCTTGTTTGCTCCTTAGAGGTTACAGTTGTGATCCAAATAACATCAAAATTGGTCAGAAGGTTGTCTTGATTATTTCTAGGTCGGATTTAAATATGGATCATCTGTGGTAAAAAAAACTAGGTCACATTGCCGAAATAAAATTGGACTGAGCCTTCATAATCAGGTGAGCGATATAAGCGCCATCATGGCCCTCTTGTTCATTTTTTCTCACGAACAGATCCATTTAAACCGAGTATGCAATTTTCAAATAATTTTGTTGTGATTAAACTTTTTAGCAGTTGGGGTATAAGTTTCCATGTGCGATGTCATGTGGTCCAAATATTTTGAAAAATTGAAAATTATGAAATAAGCTTGAAATAATTGTACAGCAGTGTCTGTCATGCAATTTTAATGTGATCAATGTTTCTTCTAACTTGATATATTTCATCATTTAAAACATGAATTGCTCGAAATAAAAAGGAATTGAAATATCGCCGCTTATAGTAAAGTTAGGTACATGTATACACAACATCATAAAAAGCACGTACTTAAACTTGTCAGTTAAGCGAAAAATATAGAATAATAATGATTTTTTTTTCAGTTC